GCCTCGATTCTATCAGGCACCATTTGTGTTTGAACAGCGGTGTGACCTGCAGCCTCAGCTTGATGTGATCACATCTTGGAACAGTGGGCCATTCCCACTTTGCACTTCTGCCGGTGTGGCAAAATATGTTTGCATTGTGAGTGCGGCTTGTGCTGCTAGGACTTACGTGTACCGCTCGTTCGATCACGCCAAAGGGAATACCAATCATTTGTGGAAGTCTTGGGGCGCTGATATTACTTGTTTACAGGAGACCCGCATCGGTAAGAATAACGCGCGCACTTCCACCAAGAATATTGAGGCTGTTGGTTTGAAGCCCATTCTGGGTCAGCTTCTCCCTGGCCTGTGGCACGCTAATGGCGCAACCAAAACTCCCTGCGGGGGGACTGCTATTCTTGGTGCTGATTGCCTCATTACCCCGTTCGAGGTAACGCACGATCAAACAGGGTTGTTTCAACAATTGTTCAATTCTAAACGTGTTGCTGCTGCGTGGTTTCAAGTCACGCCAAAGGTCAAAGCTCTTGTTTTCAGTGTGTACGCTTGCACAGGTGCTTCAAGCGATTCGAGGGTCCACATTGAGAATAATAAACTGTTTAATGATCTTTTGGTTGCGATTGCACAATTCGGGGAGATTCCAGTCATTGTCGCTGGCGATTTCCAAGCCCCTCCAGGGTCTTATGAATCCTTTGCCGGAGCAATTAACTTTCAGGGATGGGTTGACCCTTTGTCAGCGACTGATGAGTGGGGGCACTCGGTTCGGCCCTACACTTACTCCAAAGATTGTTCATTCTCTGGGGCGGATGAGGGATGCACCTCCATTGACGGGGTTCTCTTGAATAAGGTCGCATTTTGCGCCATGGTTGATGTTCAAGTCATGGAACACCGGCCCATTAAGGTCACCTTCCATTGGGAATCCATTCGCCAGACAGGCTTTATCCTTCATAAATTTGCTCCTTTGGATGTTTCTGGTGTTCCCTCTGAGGAGTGGAGTGATGAACCTTCCCCAGTGTGGCAAGAGCACTTTGCCCAGCGCTTTGAGAGTGCCCCCTGTCACGAAAATAAGTGGGAAATTGTCAATGAGTTCTTCCAGAAAACTCTCCTTGACCAAGGGGGTGTGTGGGGATCGGGACCACGAGTTCGTGCAAAACCCCCTGTCTTCGTTGAAAAGAAAGTTTGCCCAAAGCAACTGTCCACTAAATGTGCCGCAACACGAGTGTCACTTGACTTGTATAAATTGATTAATCGGCTGGATGAGCTGTCTGTTCGGCTTTCACGGGCAGTTGGATCTGCTCAGGATGGTTTCAATACCACCAGACTTGCCTTGAAAACCTATTCGGGGGTCCAACGGTTTTGCAAAGCCATTGTCTGGGCTATTCCATCCCAACCAACCTTGGTGGAGCTTCACTTGGTGCGGCGATGGGCTGAAACGTTTGCCATGACAATCGACAGCCGCATTCGCCTCAAGCGGGTTCAAAGTTGGAAACGGAAGATTAACCAATCTGCCGAACATGGATGCGCATACATTTTCCAACATCTCCGCCAAAAAGCCCAAGATGAACCCCCTAACTTGGTCACCAATAGCCATAATCAAATAGTCACCCAGCCCGAGGAGGCTATTCAGACTTTGAATGAAGTGTGGGGCGACATTTTCGCTGCGAATGTGTTGTCTGAGCTAGACGGGTGGAGGACACAAGAGCTTCAAGCCATGCACCCCTCATACTTTCATGTTCTTGCCTTGTTTTTCAAATCTCTTGAGGAGTCTGATGACCCCTTGCCAAGAGCCTTAGTATTTGCAAAGCAAGTAATCTTGAATAAGCCGGGACCGGCTTCTGCTACAAATAAGAAACAAATCACAGTCCTTCCTCCACTTCTCCTCGCTTACACGGGAGCGAGATACGCGCAGTTGCAGCAATGGCAACAACAAGCATTTCCTTCAGCAATCATCGGAGGTGTTAAGCACCGAGCGATGTCCAATTTGTCAAATGAAGTGCGCCTTGAACTGGATTCAGCAAATCTTGATGGGGATACTGTGGTGGGAATCAAACTCGACAAATCTAAGGCGTTTGACCGAATAATTCCCCAATTTGCCGCCTGCCTGTTTGTCGCTTTTGGTATCCCAACTCATGTTGCCAGCATTTTTATTAGAATGTATCAAGGTATGCATAAGCATCTTGCCTTTAGGAGTTGGACGTCACCTGTACCAGTTACTCATGCAAATGGAGTGGCGCAGGGCTGTTCCTTTTCGATCTTAGCCATGAATGCTTACAACAAGGTCTGGTACCATTTGATCGAGAATCTTCCAGGGATTGCTGTCCGTGCATACATCGACGATGCATACTTATGGTGCCGCATCATTGATCTTCATCATCTTAAGACTGCTGTCCAACTTACAGGTGTCTGGGATGCATTAGTGGGCCAAAAACTTAATACTGGTAAGTCTTCACTGTGGTCCAATAATGCACATGGCAGGAAGCACCTCAAAGCCATGTTTGCTGATTTTGCTATCGTCACTGAGTTTGAAGTTTTGGGTACCCGCATGTACACTTCTGCCAAATCGCCATTTGGGTTTTCTGAGAAATCCTTGAAGCAAGCTTTGTGTGACATTGACAATATTGCCGTACTTCCGGTGTCGCAGAAAACTAAATCTTTCTTGATAGGAGCCACGGTTATCCCAAGACTCACTTTTGGTGCGCATATTTCACGCATTCCCAAGAGAGCACTTGACCAAATTCAAAATGCTATTGCGCGTTGTCTCTGGTATGGTAGACCAAAATGGAGATCTAAATGGCTTGTACAGGCTGTCCTGTCGGCACCGCATCGTACTGAACCGACGTTCGCATGTGCTTATCAGGTAGTCCTGGAAACAATCCGCTCGTGTCACCTACAACCTGCTATGTTTTTGCAGCTCCAACGGACCATGGGGAATGCCGAAGCTTTGCCACACTCATTGGCGAACCGGTTGCTGTCGGCGTGTGAAACACTGGGATTGGAAATTGATAATAATCTTTGCTTGTCCTTTCAAGGGTCTAACCCAACTTGCATTACTGAATTGTCCCCACAAGATGCAAGGAGAGCTCTTCAAGCCGTGTGTAGACATTCATGTTATGCTCGTGCAATTAACACCCCTAGGAAGGATTTTTGCAAACCTCAGGGCATATTCGATCAACAACTTTCCACTTTGTTCCTTGCTCGTGCACCGGCAACGATCCCCGGTGAATTGCCAATGAAAGTGAGGTTCGAGTCTGTTGTTGTTGGTTGTTCATTGACCAATGATCGTATGGCTGCAACTGGATGGTCATCTTCTTCGGATTGTCGTTTTTGCCAAACCACTAAGGAGTCCATGAATCACTTGACGAGTGATTGTCACGTCTTGCACAGGGACATTGGTGCCCCGGTGGATCACCAGCTTGGCCGGAATTTTCGAATGTTAGGCCATGTTGAACATCCCAAGTTTATTGGCCGCCGAAGATTTCTACATCAGTCAGCTGACGATCTTGTTCCTGCAGAGTGCTTCAACCCGGACGGACTGATCCGGAGATGGACGGATGGCTCCGTTGTGAACGGTGAAAACTTCTGGTTGTCGGTTGGAACATTTTCAATCATTGATGAAGGTGGCCAAGCTGTATCGTGCGGAATGGTGAGCCATTGGGCGTTGTCGTCCTATGTAACCGAGCTCTGGGCAATTTTCCAAGTTTTCTTCTGTGCTTCAACGCCAGCTATAGTGTTCTCAGATTGCCAATCGGCAGTTTCGCAAGTTGCTTCCTTTTTGGCTAATGGCATTATTGATGTGCGTTGGCAATGTCAAGCATGGTGGAGGAAGTTCCGGACGTTGGTTGAGCTACGCCGAGGAATCCATCCGAGGCCTTTCAGTGTGACATGGATACCGGCCCATGTCCTTGAGAGTGTTCCGGACTGCATGGTCACAGAGGAAAACGCCCGTGAACACGCCACTACAAAGCAGCATATTTTGTTGAATCGTGTGGCTGACCGAGTTGCAAAACACCTGGCCCATCGACTCTCTCCGGTTGACAGTGCAGTTCACCTTCAAGCCAAACAAGAGATTTATAAACATCAGCATTGGTTGTCGGTACTACATGCTATGCTCCCTACAAAGGCAGAAGCAGCTGATGACACCACGGTTGAGGGTGTTCCGGAGCTTCCAGAGAAGCTCACAGAGTGCCAAGCGGCTGCTCTCTACCCACAGTGGCACTGGTCCACACCGATCACTCAGTTTCGGTGGAAGGCCAAGATCCCTGTTGACATTGCATCTCCGAAGTCATGGCGACACGGTCAAGAAGCATGGAAAGTTGTTGTAAAGTTCTTGTCAAACTTGCAGTGACATGCTCAGGAGAAGAGTCCATTTCCTTTTGCGAAATTGCAGTCGCATTCCATGCTGAAGGTCATCGCCTGCCAGGCGGTCAATCTGACCTCACGTTTCGTGATCTGTACAAGGTCTTGCGAGAGGCCCTGCTTTTTCTTCACAAGTCTGACAAGGCCCAGCCATTTCCAGGCCACTTCAACTCCACCAAGCCAAGAGCTTGTGGGCGCATTTTGCCCCAGGGTTGCATTGAAGGTGCAACGCCTTTTGTGTCGGCCAAAGGCCTCACGATGCTTGCACAGCTTTTTTGTGTAGGTGCGGATCGCCGCCTGGAAACGTGGTCGATCCCTGTACATGAGTGGTGATTGCATGTCTCTTTGGGGAAACTCCCATGTTCGGACCAGAGTGTCCGGCATGACATCGACTTGGACCGATGTGCGAGAGGTAGTATGCTGTAGGAATCTGTAGGATTTGATTTGGATGTTCGATGCGATGAGGCCCCGGCCACATCCATCCTTCTGGTCCTGATAAGCTGGAAGGCCAATTTATAAAATGCAAAATGGGGCCGCTCATGAGGACAAACAAGAACGCGAACTCTTTGTCAATTTACCTGCTGCCGCTGGAGAACCGGCCATGATTTCCATAAAAGGCTGAGTAACACGAAATGCTCCGCAGCAAGTCCTTGTCAGCGCCGCCATGGAGCAACGCTTGCAGAATCTCGCCCTCGCCCTCCTTCGCCGCTTTGTGCAAGGACCAACCTCAGCCCCGGGCTTTTGACGGACGCGCGCAGCGCTAGTTTGCCTCTTGAAACCAATACCATGCCGGCTGGGGCCTTCGCAGTTCCACCCGTCCAAGGGTTTGTCAGAAAGGGTCCAATGAGGTCGACAGCAGATGTCATTGGAATTCATTGGTTAAAGTGGAGGCTTTATTGAAGGCATCCGGTGGTGTGGAGAGCGGCATGAAGATGTTGGAAGCTTGTCTAGGGTCTTGGCTTCTAGCCCCGTTCAAAAGATCCGAATGGCTTGTTAGCAAGACCTTCATCAGAATGGGGCCAGGGACTGCAGTGATGGGCCAGAAGAGTCAACTGTTCAATTCTTGCGTAGCTCGGAAGTGCATTTGATTCTAAACCAACACGTCAGAAGAAAAACTGAATGATCTTGGAAGGAGCTATGAACGATCAGCAAGGTCCAGCTCAGAACCACATGCACCATTTCTTGTGAAGCCGCTCGTGAATCATTGAAACAACTATTTGCCCTGGTCAACTCGTCCGCTGATGTGAGGAAACCTTCTGTAGGTGACGCAAGCCAGCAGGCAACCTCCCAAAACCCTGCAGGATGGGCTCCAGGCCGGTGGTGTCGACAGGAGGCGTTGAAGCCTGTGGTACCCGATTTTAGAACCCGTTCAAACTGCTTGGAATAACAAACGCGACAACCTTGTCGCAGCAAGAAAACGACCATGGCGGTCTTGAGTCAGAGTACAGGAAGTAGAGTACAGGAAGTAGAGCTATGTGACACCAGACCGCTTCCACTCAGGACAAAGGGCCCAACATTTGGGTTGAAACCCTGTGCCAAGTGAACCCTTATTGAGCCAATAAGTCCGGCCAATGAGCCCAGCCATGAAGCCCTATCAGGCAGGTGAAAGGTCAACCATTTTAAGCTGCCTTTAGACTTGTCGACCTCCCAGCACGTGCCAAAATCAAAAACGACGGCCCTGCCATGCCCTGCAACCCTGCCTCTGGGGCATAGCCACCCGCCTAATCAGCAAACACAGCCGGCCCAAGCACAAAACGCAACAGCGCAAGGTCTAATAGTCTTGATGTTCACACGGATGGCGAATTTCGCGTCGGAGCAAAGAATTGTGTTCAGGGAAAACCTGCAACCAAACCTTCAGTGTTTTTCAACTGTCTACTCCACCTCTCAAATCGCCTTATCAATATCTTATCAACTGACTTGTCAACATTGGAAGTTGGTACACCCGACCCATCTTCGCACCTTTGAAGAACTGGCCGGCTGGGCAGCCTGTGGAAACGATCAGGCCACCCGGCTCATTCAGAAACGAAATGGATCCTTTTGGAACAAGCCACTCAGACCACTCAGGATCCACAGTCTGAGACCACCCTCTGCTTTGTGGATCCATTGTTGGGATCTTCGGACCCGCGTCGTGACCACACTGCGGCAGCGGCTGTTTTCAGAAACGACTTGGGCGCAGGGGTGCCAACCAACCAATCCGTACCCCTACCGGCGCCAACAAAACAACTGCTCCAATCGACCCAACAGTATAGCACGGGAACACATGATCCACTATAGTCTAGCGCGGCAGGCTGTTCAAGTGTTTGAATGCGTGTATGTGGAGGGAACTGCGCACTGGCTGAGAATCTTGGAAACCCACGCTGGCTGGAAAGTCTGGAAACCATTGGAAACCTGAAACCTACGCATTCCAAATTGATTCGCCAAAGGGAGGGAATGCACCAAGAAACAGAATGGAACGTAACGCGCTTGTTCCCAGTTCTGAAAGGATCTGAAATCCGCATCATCAATGGACAGCACCACATGAACTTAAGATCAATATGGTTCTTGTCATCAACTTGACTCTTCCTGGAACGTTCCGCAAAAGGCAGAACTTAACTGCCTGTCACGACATCGAAGAGTCAGGTGGCTTCTATATCGACATCGATTCATCACATTATCCTCATTGAAACATCGTTTTCATAACAACACCTCTGTGTATACCAAGGCTCACACCACAAACAACACAAATGGGAAACATGGAAAACAACTCTACAAACTCACTCTTTGTCCTCAAGAAAAATGGCACTCTGTCTGTGATAGTGCCATAGATTTGCACCATCAACTTGATGCAGGCTTTAGCGCCACGCGTGCGCCACGTGCGCAATGTGAAAAACATGAAAAAACTCCGTCGTGCACCTGGTGAAGTTCAGGCTGCGAAGGATATCCAAGAGATGGACTGACCTGCAAACATGACAAGCACCAAAGGGACAATGACGCTGGCGACAATGTACCGGATCACCACTCGAAGGAAGAAACATGAATGTTGCTGGCAAAACGACTGCTTCATAAAAGAAATGTGCTGGATCAGCATCAGAATCACTTTTGCGGGGCTGTCCTGGGGCACCACATGGGAGAAACAACTTTGGTCCCCTGATGCTGAAGCCGTTCATGGGTTGACGGTCGACCGCTTCAACTCATGTCGTTGACGGACACAACGAACGGCGGGAACCGTGGCGCAACATGGAGAATGAATGAACGGCACAATCAATGGAGTGTCGTTCGGACTTAATTAACTTTGCAAGTTGGCCAAGGCCACGACTGATTGGTTGGTCTAGAGCTCCTACCTGCTCTGCCTCTGGCCCCTCCAGAATTTTGTTTAAGCGAGCAGGCGCAGAATTGCGGTACCTCCGCTTTTTGGCTTCGCTTTCCTCCTGCTCGAAAGCTCCTACCTGCTCTGCTCTGGCCCTTCTGGTCTAGAGCTCCTACCTGCTCTGCACTGCCTCTGGCCCCTCAAGTTTTTTGTATTGGGTTTCGAAGTTGGCGTCTGGGCGCAGAATTAGATGGGGGGAAAGCCGTGGCGGTATTCCGCTTCTTGGCTTCGCTTTGCCTCAGGTGTAAAGCTCCTACCTGCTCTGCCTCTGGCCCTTCACGCTTTTTTGTTGGGATTTGAAGTTGGCATCTGGCACCTGGCATCTGGCACCCTGTCCGAGCCCTTTTGGGCGCAGAATTAGATGGGTGAAATCCGTGGCGGTACCTCCACTGTTTGGCTTCGCTTTGCCTTTGGTCTAGAGCCCCTACCTGCGCTGCCTCTGGCCCCTCAAGCTTCTTTTTTGGGTTTCGACGTTGGTGTCTGGTCAGGATCGTGAATCCACTGACAAAAAGCATTTGCTGGAAAATAGGGGGGCGGCACCAGGGCGTTAGCCCAGCTTGCTATACGGAGACGTGCCACATGCCGCCGACCTCTTTTCTAGCATCACCAGGGCTCATGTGGCTTCGTAAATGATCAAAAATGGTCACCGTAAAGTTTATAGCTTCAAAACCTCTAGAAAATATATCATTGAAGATCGAAACAGGTGTTGAGGAAAATTTTTGGTTGAGCATCATTAGCATCAGTAGAGTCTCAGCAGGAAAGATGCAAATCCCTTGGTGCGTGACCAGGCGCAAAACACTGTAAATTACAGTGTTTTTGCCAAATGTATGATGTAGTTTATCCACAGTGCTGCTCGTACTCTGGTGATGTCAATGGTCCAATGGTGTTCAACACAAGTAAACTTTCTCTCCCTTTTGCATACTTTCTTCTCTAAAGAGATAGCTTTACAATAGCAATTGTTGATCATTTTCGTCTGCTTTTGACGTTTTTGACGAAAATACAGACGTCCTGGTGATGTTCAAAAGGACGGTTTGCGGCCGACACTTCTAGCGTCACGATGTATGCACTTTTGTCAAAAACGTCGAGAAGAGTGTAAAATTGAACAAAAATGGCTACTGTAAAGCTTTATCTCTAGAGAAGAAAGTATGCAAAAGGGAGAGGAAGTTTTGAGGTAGCATTTGTGTCAAGCACCATTGGTATATCACCAGGGTACGAGCAGCATTGCTCATAAACTACATACATTTTGCCACGCACCAAAGGATCTGCATCTTTCCTGCTGAAACCGGGCTCATATGTGGCTTCTTCAAATAGGGTGAACCTGTGCGCGTGCGTTCGTGTGCGCGATTGCGTGTGTGCGTGCGCGCGCGCGAGTGCGTGTGCCTTCCTTCGTGTGCGTGCGCATTTGCAAATGATGGTAAAATGGCTATGATGGTTGGTACGATCTCCTTCAATCCAAAGGTGATGTAAATCCTATAAGGTTGTCTGAAGCTGAGGTTGCCAGGCTTTTGCGCGCGCACTTGCGCGGGAGTCTGTCTGCGCAGGCGTCAGAAGCTCGTCGCATTTTGCTGCGCACAGAGCCTGCGGATACGTGCAGTCCTCCCAAGGGCATCGCCGGTGGGCGAAGCCAGTCAGTATGTCATGCCTCCAACAAGTCCAGCAGTCAAATATTCATATCAAACACCAATCGGACCCCCTCATGAGTATGTGAAGCAAAAGCATAGCGGTATTGTGATGACTGCTAGTTTGTATCATCAGCACACTATTCAAAATATTCAATGCGCGATACAACCACTTGTCAAATCTGTCACTCTGACTCTGCCTCACCACTGCCTGAGGAAGGTCCGGCTGCCTGGCCAAGAGTATAAACAAGTCAGCGCCAGTGAGCCCTTGTCGATTGCTGTCGGGCTTTGGACTGGACTCAGAGACTTTTGGTCTTGGAGCTCAACACAGCAACCAACATGGTCACAATGTAAAACCGTTGATGTCATTGAACCGCAAACGTCAAACAGCTTACAAACATGCAAGTCGCGCATGAGCACTTAGCACTGTCTCCACAAAGTTCTTGGGCCTTCCTCCCTCTCCCTGGCCGATCTCCTTGACGCGGTCATCTGTGTCCAGCAAGCCCATGCCTTCTTCGCGTAGGTTCCAAAAGAAATCGTTTTTGGGGCCTCCTTTGGCTAGAACTGCTCTTCCATTCGCAGGAGGCTTTACAAAGGCAAACTCATCCGTGCAAGATTTGTATAAGTGGAGGGAAAGCGCAAAGTCGCCAGGGTTGTCACTTCCGCACCAAACTTCGTGAGTCCACCAATTCTGCCGATTCAGCCATGTAGTCGCGGGAGCTTTCAGCATCAGCTTTTGGTGCTTTCCGTGCGGGAGCGACAGCCCACAATCCCCATGTTCAAATTCCATTGGGGTCTCATCAAGCAAAGTCTTGTACAAGTAGCAGTGAAGTTCACCATGGAGTACGCGAACGCTGCCTGCACATCCTCCATGGTGGTGCTTTGGAGATCGATAGCCCTGAGGCCAAAGCTCGAGAATGGCGGTCAAACCACCCAACTCTCTAAGACCGAGACCAATGCGAATGTAGGTTTTCTTTGGATCCTGAAACATCGTCCTGGCATCCTGACTCTTTTCACTCAGTCGCTGTTGTAATGCTCCATTTCGCAAGGAAGCTCTGATAGCCTCGATGTGTCTGGGCAGTACTTCATCGACGAATCGGTTAACACCTGGTCCGTGGGAGAGCGCACACACTTTGCTTGCATCGTCTGGGAGATCAAGATTGGCGCTCTGTCGATCATAGAGCAGTGGCAGATTCCGGTCGTGTGCGACGTACTCTTTGACTTCCAAATGCAACTTCTCCTTGGTGTCCACGGCATGACATTCCGACACCACCTTGTTGCAACTGACGCAAATGCAGCGGATCTTCAACACGTCAATCTCCAGGTCTCTCTCCAAAATCTGCTGGTTGTAGAGGAAGAGTTGTCGGGGAGTCCGTTGATTCCATGGAATGACCTGGTGTCCAAACTGCTCCTGCTTCTCTCGGAAGATGATGTCAGGGATTTTGATTGTCTCATCTGCAATCTCAGTGATGTCGCGGTCGTTCTTAAAGACCCGGATGCGGCAAGGTATCCGGGCGTTGTCGGTGACGCCCTTAAACCTCTTTCTCTCTCTGCACTGCAAGTTTCGACAAGGAAAGAGACAATTTTCAGTCAGCTCTTTGAAGGTCTTATCCAACAGCTTCCGTTGCTCTGTGCCAAGCAGATCTGCTCCAACTTCGCGGGAGCCACGGCTTGCCATGGCAACAGTCAACACGTAGGCAGGCAAATTACTGGAAAGACCCGAGGTTCAGAAGAAAGGACATCACAATATGATTCAATCTGCTTCGCATGTGAATGATACCTTAGTGGCTTCAGCCCTTGCAACTGCTTCATGCATTTGAGCTGAAAAAGTTCTGTGCAGCGAGCAGATCTGAGTACTCCAACAAAATTGCTCCAAGAATGTGCAGCATTTGCTGCAGAATCAATAGTTTCCACCAGCACGTGAGAAGACTCATGACAGTTGCATCTCACGCATTTTCTGCCAAAATCAGATCGCTAAGAGCTCCCTCCGACCCTCAGCGCGCGGAAGGTTCTGTCGCTTGTGAATGATGTGCTCCTCCTTCCACTGAGGACCGGAAGAGTGTTTCTTGTGCGAGATGTGAGAGCCTTACATGATGAATCGTAGCATCGACAGTGCGAAGCTTGTGGAGTCGTTGGATTTTGAAGGGCGTGGGCTGATTTTTCACAGGGATGGGGCCAGTGCCGAACCTCAAATTCTTGCTAATTCTTGGACTGCATACTTTCATCATCCCAATGGTCGAAGAAGGTTCAAGAGACGACTTCATCCCTGGCTGGGAACTTGGAACTCGGCAAATGCCACAGACGCGGCTATGCAGGTCCGCGTGCTTAGGTGCGTTGCACAAGTTTAGGAGAGATGCATTACTGAGCTGCGAAAAAGTACTTCACCATGGGATTACTTATTGAATGCATGGGTCCTTCATCTAGGCTCCCAAAGACTGAGATCGCAAGCTTCTCCTTCGTCAAGGTCAGCACGGAGATGTCCAAGGACGATGCCTTCAAAACCAGTCCACAACAACATTTAAAATCTTTAAGGGTATGGGTAACCGAAGAAAGGACAACATGGAATCAACCCAAAATCTTTTGCTGCTGTTTTACAAAATAACAGGATTCCGTTTGATGTGAAGTACCAGCACGTGCTGGAGAGTGGCATCTTTGCTTCTTTATCAAGTTCTGAGGAGAGCGCAGGTTAGAGAACACTCTCCTTTTCGCCGGGAGCCTTGCGTTCAGAAGTTCTATCTGAAGAATCATTGACAATCTTGAAGGCCATAAAATCTCAATCAATTGTCAATGCCTCGTGTGTGGGCAGCCTGTTCATGTGCATTTCATAAACGATATAGCCAGCAGTCACGACATGACTATTCGCACGCTGCACATATATGCCCACCATGAGGATGTAGGCGATTGGCACCAGGCAAATGACATCAGCTGCGACTTAGCAAACCCGCACGATTCCCGCGCGCAGGTGTTGCTTGCACGAGCTTGTGAATTAGTGTAGCTCTAATCTCTTACACGGGATTCTGCAGGACAGCGTCGTTAATTTACGGCTTACTCATGGCTTATGTGCATCCTGGAATATCATTTCGCTTTCTGTGCCATGGTATTTTCGCACGAACTTACTGTATGTAGAGCATACGCAATGCCGGTATATTACCCATTATGTATGACGTAGAATTTAGACTTTGGAACGACATTTGATCATCCACATCCAGCCCTCTTTATGGATGACATGGCAGTCGAGACGTGGCACCAAATCTCCTTCAGACAGAAGAGGACACGTGGCACCACGCACCACGTCCATACGCTACAACCTTGAGGATCGAGCTAGACAAATCTGTGTTCACTGTGTTCTCTTCCCTGTCACCGAGCTCCCGACACTCCTGACGATGTGCTCCCCTGTGCTGGTGGCAGTCCCACCTCCAAGCGGCACTCAGTCGGCACAAGCTCCAACGCAAGGTCCAACACAACACAAACCGCCAAGTTTTGTTAAACACAGTTGGAAAGGGCCGGGCAGGGTGCTGCTTGAAAACGAATGGTACTTTAGATATCACAACCAAGTTGGCAAAGCAAAAGCAACCTCTGAGTAGCACAAGCACAAAGACCACAAGTCCGGTGGCATGGTTTTTATGCTGGTGCGGAGGGATTCTGATGTACTTCGGAGGATATCGGGAATATCCATCAGAAACACGCCCTGTACTAGTACCAATGCTTGTGGAGTGACCCTATGGCTATTCGGCTATCCCTTGCGGCGCAAGCCCACACATGAACAAGGGCAGCAGTCGAATCAAAGACCAGGATCGGAGACCAAGAAGGTCGAATAGGAGACCAGGAGTCAAAGGCCAGGGGAATAGAAGCGGAGACTGGAAACACCCCATCGGACAGCGAAACAGAATCGGTGATCATAGAATCAGAGACTACAAAGCCAGAACCCCAAGCCCAAAAGTCCAACCCAGATCGGAGACCGACCGAAATCGAGACCGCCCACGCCCATAGGTCCTAATTCAATTTCTGTCCGACTGTCCTTTCTGATCGAATAGAAACCCCGCCCTGGTAAAGCAGGAGAAAACCAAGGTTACCAGGGCAACTGGACACGAAATTGGACTGCATGTCTTGCATCCCAGCCAACACCTAGATAGATGAACAAGTAAATCTAGATAGATCGACAAACTGACAAACAGATCAATAGACAGGACCATTGACATCGACCCATCGATCTAACCCGAAATCAACCCCGAAGTCCAACACAGATGGGTCACCGACCGAATGTCAACATTACAGTGTGTCACCGTGCATCTGTAGATTATCAGAGACCTCCTGTGTCCAACCGCTCGTACACCCCTCTGTTTTTTTTTAGGGCTCGCAGAAAGAGCTTCCGCGATCAAGGGCAGAATTTGGCACAGGTGGAAGGTTGGGGCAAGGCGGTGAACGTTTAGAAGTTGCACAGACTTGGCCTCTTCCACCTTTCGCTTACAGCTTGTGAAGGGCTAAGTGTCCCCAACGAATAGCTCTAAAAGGCAGTTCGGACCAAGGAGACTCGGCCAGGAGAATAGCCATCCCAATGCAACGCACCTTTTGTGAGCAATCTGAAGATATAGACAAGGAGCCTTTTCAACGCAGCATATCTTTTGCAACCCCCAACGGGTGGAGATTAAAACAAAAACGTGATCACAAACACCATCACCACCAACCTCACCCTCCCCAGCGTGCGACTGGTCGCTGATCCGCTGAAACCTGGTCGCTGATCTGCGACGTCTCTGATCCATGGTCGCTGATTCTGGGGTTGTGTCTGGTCGCGGATTCGGCGCGGTGGTCGCTGGCTCGACGTTTTCTCACATGGGAGATCTGAGGGGTGAGCGGGGATCGGTACCGAAAATATACCCTTGCATCTTTGACAAAATCACAAGCCGCCATGGACTTCGGCAACGATATCATTGCGATGATCAGCCAAGTCGAAAAAAACATGGCCATATACAGCCATATCAAAGAAAACACAAAAAAGGCAAAACACACTAACAAATCGTCATGGGAGAAGAAAACGGCGGCAGCGTCCAGAATTCGAGTACCAGCCCCTTCGATGAACAAGCCACCAACACCCTTCGATGAAGAACACTAGCCATCCACACATTCACCAATGTGCACTCCTCAATAGCAGATCTTCTGTGTCCACCACATTATTTTGGATTTGTGGGTGGGTATTCCAATCCTGCTCAGGACAAAGGTATGTGCAGGACTGGAGGTGTGATGTGTTTTTGTAATCCACCAAGGAAATCATGGACTGATGTAGCTCCTTGAATGCCTGTGCTCCCAAGTGGAAGTAGAAGCGGGTATTGATGGAGTGTGCACAGCTTCATGAAGAACTGACAAAACCCCAAGGTGAATCAGCTGGAGGCTTGACGACCTACTGTCAAGGCAAATGAATCAAGTTTGGAGGCATAATAGACCACCCAAGGCTAGAACTTCCTGTTAGTGAGGGGCTGCCTGGCCTTCAAAGATCGCAGGATCAGCAACGCCTGCAGGAGTTTGCGCGCGCGCGCGCGCAGCACGAGAGTCGGGAGACAGAACTTTAAGGAGAAGTATATAGAAGCAAGGGAACAAAGAAGTTCAGAGTGCAAGCATAGTCTTATCTTAACACTGAATTGAACTATTGTAAGATATGTTGCCCCCTTGAAAAGATGAATGTTGGATTGCCAAAATGATTGGACGTGGGGTCCGGATGCAAGCTTGATACCTTCTGAGGCCCTGGCCTCGTCCCGATGTCGATGGTCAGCTGATGCCACTTAGAAAAGAATGAAGCGTGCCCATCTTTGCATAAAAAGGTAGGAGATGGACCTGAGATCTGAATTTGCCAAATGTTTACCAAATTTGGCGAGAACTCCAGCTGCAGGCGAATTCTTCTCACGGACGTCGAGCAGCCACGCGGAGCTGAACTCTGTGATCTTCCCTCGGCGCGCGAAGGGAAGCCACACCCCTCGAATCGAAGATGAAGCGAAATCCGGCCAATGGGCGATTCCCCCAAAACACATGGCCAGGTCAACACAAGAGCCGTGAGTCAACACGAAGCTGGAAAGGCTACGGGTATATGGTCTTTATGCCAGACAGGTGATGCACACTATTGCACACAGCTAGTGCTGGTCACCAAAACCGTAATGATCTGAACACCGCGAATTGTCCACGTGACAAAAAGTACCTACTGGCTGCCAATAATTCATCCAACTACTACTTCCAGGAGCCAAAGGGTTCGAGTCTGCTTGTAGTTTGCTTTCACCTTCCCCACAGACCACACACTCAACCACAATTCCTCACAAATTGACACCGTCAATGATGAGAAGGCTTCACAAGAATTTGCGGTCTTTCGAAGTCTTTCAAAGCATCGACGTGGGAATTTTTCAAAAGACGGCCGGTTACGGTCGCCACAAGAACTACTGGTCGCCACATGTGTGACCTGTTTGTCCGTAGGCACCCTTCAGTGCATTTCAGCTTCCGTTGCTACTAAAGGCATGGGAGTGCTAGACTTACCATTTGTCGAAACACCCAAAGGTGCTTGACGAGAACTTGCAATGCTTTCGCTCGAAGCATTGCTCATGAGGGTTCCATAGTGCTCCACATTCGATGTTCGTTGTCATGCGTTTTCCTGAGTCCACGGTTCCTCCGTTCCTGCCATGGTAAAAACAGTTCTGAGCACCAAACGAACGCCGAACTGTCGAACCAGGCGACGTCTTTCTTCCTCAACCGGAGAGTGGCACCCGGGTGTCCGCATGCGCATGCGCCAAAAACTGTTGGTATTCCAGGCCTCGTGAGCGCACCCAGATCGGAATTCGGAGTTCGCCAGGTGCCTGAAGTCTGACGTCTGAAGATCTCAAGGCAGAAAATGCTGAAGATCTGAAAAGCTTGCGTTACTGAGTTGCTTCTGCTTTTCACTGTGAGTGCGGAGACCAGTAGTAGCCATTTGCCAAGCTTTGCCGCCAACCTTCACTTTCTTCACCTGGCGAACACGCGGGAAAGGGCCAATCCCAAAAGCCTGTGCTCCTGCTTCCGAAGTGTGTTTGGCCCTAGAAGCTCCGAACACCTGAAGACCAGCACATGCAGGGAGGAATGTCACTTTTGGGCGTGCAAAACAGGAAGAATGAATGAATACGTCAAATCAAAGTGTTTTCTTTGCGTGCTACTGACTACTGGACTTGCTTGTTCAAACCGCGATACACACCAATCGTGCTTTCATTGCAGGACCCTGCAGTGCGCCAGTGTCTGTTCAAACCAACTTGTGATATTGCCACTTGGTCGTTCTACTGTTTGGTTTGAAGTTTCTTGTTTGCGACGGTCTGCTTGGATCTTGGTTATGGCTCGTCGTTTATTGTTGGCAGCTGGTTGACGGTTAAATTGCAATAGCGTTCTGAAGACAAACTGAACATTGAACATGAACCCTATGTCTGTGGACACGAAAGACTATCGGACTTGACAGCCGCGAAAACGTTCGCTTGCTACATCAGCTTTCCAGTGCAGCACAGCTTTTGCCCTCTCAAACAAGCAGCCCTTGTTTGTCTACATTCCATTTAATTACGAGGCCTCCTCATTTGAAAGAAAATGAAAGAAACCTGGGATACAATGCCACTTCTGGCTGCCCACAAGCTGTGCTGCTTCAGCTGTGTCGCGACAAACCACAGGTTGAGTCGCCGCTTCGGGGGCCACGGGGCCAATAGATCGGTGGATTCTCCCGGGTCGAAATGCTGTCGGGCGGGCGTTCGAGCAGTATATAACCCACGTCAGAAAAAGGGGGACAGGAGCCAAAGGAACCATACACTTAGGTCACTACTCGATGGACAACTGTATCCGCCCATCCACAAGGCCCTTAGCTTTAGTGCCGCTTGTTTTTTCCACCTCAGTGCTTCTTCTTCTGAGCAGTCTCAAAAGAGCGGTCGACCCATGATTTTGGGTTGGGCAAACGCTCGATTTTGCACAGCTTCAGATGGACTTGCGCTTCCAAGATGGGTATGCGAGCTTTCATCGTCCGAGCCCATAGAGACACCTCCAGACGGGGCGGCGGCAACGAGCGACAGCGTGACAGCTCTCACGAACCCAGCTGCTCAAGGAATTGTCCATGAACTCCCCCAGTCACTTTGCAAGATTCTGCTGACACACGAAAGAACAAGATGCTCATGTCTTTGATGTCCATGTCTTCTGGACTGCGGTAATCAACCAACCCATCCAACCCAGAAGAATAAGCTCCACTCTTCCCCAAAGCTTCCGAGGGGCCACCAAACCGACGCTGCCTTCCTTCCTGCACAGACCTCAGTTCCCGTCCAAACCGCCCGTCGCAACCGTCACCGGCTTGTCCTGCCGGCTTCGCTCCGAGTGGCCTTGGGCTGGATGACAAAGGTTGCGAAGAGGAGCCAAAGGACATAAGGCCTCGGTGACGAGGTGTGAAGCACGAAAGGACACGCCTGGCCAGGTGGAAAAGGAAAAGCTGGCCAGGTAGGTAGGTAGGTGTTGCAAGAAATGCAAACAGCCAACAAGCACCACGTTCATTAGAAGGAGAAGGAGCAGTTAGTAGCAGGAGTAGTGATCGGACTCGCAAGCCCTCACGAGTCCAAAAAAGCCACCATGATGCCAGCAGTAAAAGTACTTAGTGGCAGCATCAATCTCTGGCATCATGGCGATCTGGTGCTTTTTGATCACGATCGTCATGCGTCTGATCTAATGAACACCGAAAGGCACTTGCAACGCCAAGGGACATGTACATCTTGTTGACATGCACGCCCTGGCTGCACCTGGGCTCATTGAACCGAGCGGCGACATGTGAAAAGTAATCAACCAACCTGGTAGCTGGCAGTTGGATGGGCTTTATGCAACGCCTCCCTGCAGGTCTTTTGCCAAAAGTTAAGGTCTCCCAATAACAATGCCAAGGCCAAGAGGCTTCCAAAGCGTCCAAAGGAGTTCATAGTAAGAAGCGGTTTTGCTCAACACCGGAGCCAACCTTCCTGCAGCGAGGGTCAAGTACAGTGTGAGGACGCGATGAGCATGATCCTTCAACTCTGTCTTGTAAGGATCCACGGCAATGAGCCCAATGCAAAACAGCCCTCACGTGGCTACCAACAGAACTCTGTCATCAATTAAGGGACCCTGTGAAAGGTCGTTTAGGGGGAGTCCGTGCAGTGGGTGGGATCAACAAATAGGAAAACACACAGAAAGAAACTACTGTATAATCACAAAAACATGAAAAGCGCATTCTGGTTGAACTTTCATACATTGGGCTTGCGCGCTCGAATTTGGCACTCATTCGCCTGAACAAGAACTCTCCTACATGGTGTCGAGCGGCCCACGCAAACACCGAAGGTCAGAACCCATTGCCACGTGCACAGGTAAACAAGCGGCGCCCCATAGATCATTCTCTCGAAGAAGTGGTAATCTAAAGTCAGAACTCTCCATCCGAGCACACACATCACCAAAATGGGAACAAGGAGAGAGAGAAGCAGCATAATGAGAATGTAGCACACCGTCAGAGTCTTGCGAAAGTCCCTCAGTTCAGGATCAACGCTCTCGAAGACCAAGTTCCGCAGGGCGATCAGTTGCATGTGGGCTCGTCGTTCACCGCCCTTCAAGTCAGAAAGGCGTGCAATGACGTAACCAGGATCCAAGCGGCCCCAAAACAGCGTGAAGCGATGCTCATCTGGGGGTGTCAAATCCTTCAAACTATGCATGAAAATCTCTTCATTGATGGGAAATTCCCAGCAGAGAAGTTCTGCCAAAAATCCTGAGACGAGATCTCTGCTACAACATGCAGAACCAAATCGGAACCAAATATACTACGAAATGTTGAAAGCTTTGCAAACCCACCCGTCTGGTGTCAATTCACAGGACCGGACAAGCAACGACTTGAAAGTTACCTGGTTCAACAAGACTCAACCACTTCCAGTAATTGAAGAGTCACCAAGTTCAGTTAAGAATTTACCAGTTACCACTTCAATACTTTACCTGTTACCAAGTTCAGTTAAGATTCTGAAATAGCCGCAAGAGCTCAAAAACTTTTGTCGCTCTGCTTTGAAGAGCTCATTCACTCGACTTGCCACCATGTCCAACAAGGTATATTTGGGATCATGGAGCCGCCAAAACTTCCGCATCATGTCCGCCATCTCCTTGGGGCTAAGTTCATTTTTGGCCAATGTGTAATACAGCGACGCCAACTCTTCCGCGCGCAAGCTGTCGGGGGTCTGTGCTTGGCCATCGATCATCGACAACCGTGTTCAATCCAAAAAGGGACTCCAAGCTTGAAACTGACAGCTGCAGCTGGGATGCAACTGATCCAAGTGAAAAAAAGAACTATCCCACCCTCAACAGTTGGCCTTGAGCTTTCAGTGAACCAGTCAGGGCAGGTTGGCCTGCCGTAAGTCTACTCACCTGACTCGTGCCTGGGAGGTGCATCCGGACGAACCGTTCACCACGGCCCGTCGCGTTCGGCCGATTTCGGACCTCGCCGGACCCGGCAGACACGGTCTGGTCACCGTTCCGGACCGTGCGGTCACCGGCCGTTCCGGGCCGTTCCCGTTAAGGGTGAACGGGTCACACCGTGCGACGTGCGACACGTGCGGTCTGTCACCGGCGTTCACTACTCCAATCAGGTTGCATATGTTCTTCTACTGTTACTACCAGGGTCCATTCTTTCTCCATGTCCTTTGGAGGAAACGTGTCAATGCTTCTGTAAATCAATCCCAACCGATTTGGAGCAAAAATGGAGATGGAAAAAGTTCTTTCAGAGCATTTATACAGTTCTGAAGCGGGCTACGGCTCTATGCCACCCATCAAGGTCTCCACATTTGCACTCGATTCCAAATCCGTTCGTTCCAACCGGCTGCGTTTTCGCAGGAGCTTCCAGGGCCAAGCCACCCAGGGTAGCAACACACAAAGTTGGTCATATCACATGCCAACACTGTTGGTCGTTTTTCTGTGCCTTTCAGCACCCTTTCGGTTTCTCAATGTCAATCAAATGAAACAGAAACAAAAAGTCCAAATTGAAACATGCCAATCAATCGGACTTTCTGTTTCTGCCACTTGTAAAAATGGTTCCGCCCAGATGGATTCATCAGCAGGGTCTTGGCAAAAGTGATGCCATCAACTGCGTCACCTGTGCCACCTGCGTCCCATGGCCAAGGGCCCAGGGAGCCCTCTCATCCAGTCTCTCAAGGACCGCCCAAACACGAAAATGGTTTTACCCGGAGTCAATCTTCAAAACTAGAGAAATCTTAAAATATCGATAGATTGATAAAACATTTGGACACTGAAAATCCGCAGACCTCCATGTTCTGAAGACCTCCCCAGAACTGACCACCAAGTCCCTCCATGGTCAAAAATTGCTTCAACTTTACGGCCAGTTAGTCGCGTGACAGGCACAGATCTGTCGGGTGAGATGTTTGAGTCGAGGTGAGATCTGAGGTTTGGTGTACTCGATGAGATCTGAGGTTTCAGCTTTCGCGATGGTTGTGGTTTGTCTTGTTACTTTGTAGTTGTGGCTTGTCTTGTCTCTACTCTACCTGTGCAAATGTTTTCTCAGGAAGGTCATTACTTCGCCAAGAGGTACCTCGTCGTGGTCTTAGTTGTTAGTATCGGCACAATACCAATGCGAATGAGCGTTGCGTATTAACAGTATTAACATGTGTGCGCGTTGCGCTCACAATGAAGGAAGGAATCTCACCTCACTAGACACCTTATATTGCAGCCAAACATGCAAGCCACTTGTCATTGAGAAAGACTTGCCCACGAAGCCTCAAGCACTGGCAGTGCTGGAAAGCATCCCAAAGAATCCTCGGAAGAAGCCCCAGCAAAAAGAATCCAAAACCGGACAGCCTAGCACAGCCTAGCACAGCCTAGCCGTTCCATCCTTTGGTTCCTTTCTTCGCCCGCAGCTGCGAGCAAGGCAAAAACTCCCTAAGATCACCACGTGACACCAGTCGCCGTCGCCGACAATCCTCACCATGTCGCCATGTCGCGACAATCCTCACGATGTCAACGTTGCAAATTCTGAGTTTGTGAAAGGTCAACGATGGTCTTAGCCGTCTATACCCTCAATCTTGGCAGAATCACCTTCTGGTCGTTCTGCTTTCAACACCTTGCAACTCAAATAAGTAAGAAGCTGAAAGGTCAGCATGGCTTTGCCGCTACTTGTGGCCGGTCACTTCCTGCCTGAATCGATGGAAACACCGCATCTAACAGAAAGAGATCACTCAGCAGAGAGCGCCTCATGTTGGCGCTTTCTTGTCGACTCGACTTGCTCTGCCTCCGAATGAGTGCATTGAGACGTCTTGCAGGATCTCTTCGAACTATCCGAACTAAAACGTCACAAGACAGCTTATATAACTTGGCTTCGTTGCCCAGGCCCTTCGCCTTATTGCACTGACGAAGACCGTCAAGCCTCCAGAAGCAAAAACTGCTCTGATCAAAGTAAAGGCTCATGACCATGGTTCTGATGAAAGGGTCTCTGATGTAGGACAGGCCTGGAAAGGAATCATCTGCACATGGGCTCTGCCATCCATGAAGCACTGCCGAGGCACAGCCGAGGAAAAGAACGGATGCCGCTGTGTCTAAGACCGCGCCGCCCCAAAAAATGGCACGACACACCGTCCGCGATGTCCGACATGGCCAAAGCCCCAAAGCCCCAAACACGGAACATCCCTCGATCGGATGGAGTTTCGTTCGACTTCGACTTCAACTTCTCCCTCCCTCGATCGGCGACCGGACCGTCGGACCGTCTCCACCACGGCGTCGTAAGAGAGGCCACCGGTGGCGAGCGAGAGGCGAAAAGAGAGCCGTTCGGCCGTTGTTCGGATGTTCTTTTGGTTTTGAAAGGTTCTTCTTCCCCTTTTTCCTGGTGGGGTTGGAAGGCCGACGCTGGGGCTGTTGGCTACGACGTGGGTCTGTTTGGGCTTAGATTGGTACATCTGTCGCTGGATCGCATACCTCCAAATTGAAATTGAATGGAGCTAACAAAGTTATAAAGGCTCAGGAGATTTGATAGAGCGGCATAACGAAAACAAAGCAAATTGAGTGTACCAACTTGGTTAGGTCAATGGCTTAGGGATTGAAGAAAAAATATCCTCAAGAAAAAGATGAGGTGTGTGTTGAGTCCAGGCACGCTGGTTACGTTTTCTCATGTGGAGGAACATGAGTGTGCAGGTCATTGTGTTGTGGTTCAGAGCACGCACATCTACAATCTACAGAGGCAGCAAAACAATGTGGTGAGATTGGGTTCAATGCAAAAGAGCGACACATGCCAGAATACCTCGAGCTGCCTTGGGCAATTCCGGCATACGGTTGACGAAGCTCGAAGAAGAATTTTTTTTGCACGGGTACGGGCGCTGTGTGTGCCGAGGGGCACAAGTCACCTTGATTGAATTCAGAAAATGGGGTGAGAAGATACGAGCCTGAACCAACGAGACGAACCAACGGAGAAACCAACCCAAAACACACCAAAACCCCCCAAAAGCAAACCAAAGGCGAATCAGGCTCATATCCGCTCAAGATGTAGAGCGCAAAAGTTGAAGATCCGAAGATCTAACACAGGAGTGAAACGGGGCAATGAATTCTCGTTCTAGGCTGCACTCAGTTCAGCATGTCCATAATGAATCAGCTTCCTGTTTGCTGAGTGGCCGGCTTCGAAATTGGGATGCTGTGCTTCTCAGTCGTTGGTGAGCAAGGCTGAAAGCAGGATTGAGGTACTTTCAAGGCCCGTTCGGAGCAGGCACGCCGAAACTTGTATCAAAGAGGACGAACGAGCCATTGCAAACTGTGAGTTGCTCCTAAGTGGCCTACTCTATTACGAAAGATCCTCAAACCATGCGAACAAAATTCCAGCCTGCTCGCGGCCTAGGCATGGGTGTTGCTGAACAGTAAGTACTTGGCCAGGCGTGAGATGGGACAAGCAGCGGACTTCGCTACTTGACAGCATGAAAATTCACAAAGTCAAGAGAACGGGAAGTTGTATGGTGCGTGCATGACCACTTGCAGTTGCCACGATATTTATCCCAAATGGCACAAAGGGATTATTGGTCTCCCAAACGAGCGTGAAAGGGGGGGACGATCGCAGCAAGCAGTGGCATCAAAGGAGAAGGAGCTGCAACAACGAAGACAGCCACCTCCCCCCAAGGAGGGAGGTGACGAGTGCGAACACCCAAAAAGCAGTTCCAAAAAAGAGCCTGACGAACGAGGACTGCCATGGTCACTCAGCGTAGCAAGACTCACCGCATCAAACCTGCCTCGAATGCAAGTCACTCGAAGGTGAGCAGGCGTAGCAGAGGGCGAGCCTTAACAGCTTCCATATCTCTCCAGGGTCACGCGAGTGCACTGGAGTTCACGACATCACGCAGGCCCCATGAACTAAGTGAAACGGTGAAACGCCGCTATTCCTAGTGCTAGTGAACTGTACACTGTACCACGCCCTGACCACCTCTTGGGAGGCAGCCAGGGGGAGCTGGCTATCTACTCAGTTGCGATGGCTGAGTTGGCATTTGGAGCAACGGACCTGAGACCCTCTGCCGATCTGCTGCCATGAGCCATTTAGCCAAGCTACTCTAGGATTCCCATCCCTCGACACTTCCGCATGCTTTGTTACCTACTTGCGGCTGCATTCAGATTGGTTTCTGCACAACTTCGCATGCAGTCCTCCACTCTTCATTTGCTGCTTTGGGCTTGGGGAGAAACCGAATCCATGATGGGAGTGCCAGCTTGGTGCACAGCTCGAACGCATTGCGTTCTGCGTAGGTGCCCCGCCAAGTTCCTTTCTTGCCCATCCGGACGAGTTTGCTTAGCCGAATACCGCCAGCAAAGGCTCGTTTGTTGATGTACAACAGGGCGGGTGGAGTGTGTATCTCTTCAAGAGCGGTACACTTCAGGAAGGCATCTCGCTCAATGCGTCTCAAGGTCTGGGCCAACTTAAGATGCTGTAGTTGGGAACAGCCTGCGAATGTGCCCCCTACTATTTCGTTGATGTCAGTCCGTGAGATGTCCACTGATCGCAGTCTGTCACAGTGCTCAAAAGCAGCCGGTCCAATCCAACAGAAATCGGCTGGAAGGTTGAGCGTCTCTATCCCTGCCTCAGAGAAGCAGCCTTCTGGTATGATCCGATTCGGGTCTTGTGGAGTGTAGTCCGTCCTTTCCAAGCCAATTGACCGCAAGCTGCGGCATTTTTCAAAGGCTCGGGTGTGGAGACACGCCTGCGGCGCAAGCTGATTGTCACTTTTGTCTGCATCTCCCACCCGGGCTAACGCATGGCACTCCTCAAATACCCAGCACCCGAAGTTTCTGCACTCTGGGGCTGTGATCGTGTGGAGCACATAACATCGCCTAAACGCTCCGTCTTTCAGGCATACTAGTGAGTTGGGCAGGTGTACTATCAGCAACCTGTTACAATGTTGCCAGGCTGCTTCACCAATGGTGTGCATACCTGCTTCCACTTGTAGATGCCTTATGTCGTTCGAATGCGTGAAGGCATGAGGGAGCACTTGCCCTGAACGAGTGGGCGGTACTTGGATTGCTTTAGCGTTCCTCTTCATCTGTCCTTTGTGCTCTGCATGAGAGCAGCATTGGCGGACAACGACGTGAAAGTGGTTGCAGTCCCTGAGGGTGTCCCAGATAGGGTTCCGCAGGAGTTGACCTGTATCACATTGAACGAAGGAGAGTTCACACCCAAAGGTGCTGCTTCCTCCTATGGTCGGGAGTTGCTCCAGAACAGCGGTTTCGAACTCATCAAGTCGATCAAACTCTTGGAGATCAACGATAACTTGGTGGTCCTCTCCAGAGAGGGATGTCAACAGGAGGTGGACCACCAACTGTCGTTCATTGCTGACGAGTGAGCTCGTGTGCGACTCCATGTCACTATGCATGGCGGCGCTACTTACTGTATCTGTACTTGCTACTGGGGGTTTGAGCCTGGCAATGCAGAGGGGCAGCTGCTTGGGTAGCCGTCCATGCACACTCTTGCTTGGCACGACCCTAGTGGTTACTTGGCACTCCCTACCACACCTGTGTCCATATGGGCAATAATAGGTAGCGTTCGGTCAAATACAAGGGGCAATCCAATCACTGTCCTTAGGTGGGATGCAGTGAAACCACTTAGGGGTGGTTAGTTTGGCACACCCATCGAAAGCATTGTCGGCTGCATAGGGATACCGCCATGCCTCGTACTTGCTCCAAGCATACTCCAGGCAAAAGAGCTCAGTACAATTGCCAAAGGCCCTATACCCTAAATAGCGAATGCAGCTTGGGAGGATCAGCCTCGCCAAGGATTTGCAATCTGCAAACACTTCTGCTCTGATTTCTCTCAGGCAGGCTGGCAGTGTGATTGCTTCCAAACTGTGGCATTTCGCAAAGGTGTGCATGTGCAGGATTAGGATTCCTGTGTTGGCAATGTTCACATTGGCAAGCGATTTGCAGTTTTCAAAGGCTATATGGTATGTATCCTCTCCAAGTTCCACTTGCTGAATGCCGCTTGCGAAGAAACATCCCTGCGGCACTCCAGCCTGCGGGGAAGTTAGCGTGCTACTATCTACCACCGCTCGTACATGGGGGAGGGAGAGGTGCGTCAGTTTAGCACACTCTTCAAAAGCATATTGACCAATGATGGCTCCTATCGCAAGATAGCTGCCTCCGTCTGTGATGTTCCCGACACACTCCAGAGCGCAACACTCTGAGAAAGCCCGGACACCCAGCTCAACACATCCAAGCATCTCGACTGTCTGCAGGGAGTAACATCCCTGAAAGGCTGCATAACCAACGCTACCACTGTGTCCGGCAGTTTTACTACTCTCAAGGAGTGACAGTATCGCCAGACCTGCGGACTGATTGTGCTGAACCCAACGTCCAAACTGACGTGCCGAACACGTGCGGTTGAGTGGAAAGCTTTGGCCTCAAGGATTCCTGAGTCCGAGATGGGGACTCTAATTGCTTTCGGGCAGTCTTCATAATCGAGTCCCTGGAGGGGCTTGTTGTTCTCCAAACTGAGGAAGCAATCATGCACAATAAGGCAAAAATGATTGCTCTTTCGTAACTCTTCTTGTCTAGGGGTCTTGAAGTGCAACCTGGGCATCCGCGTTGATTAAGGTGAGTTCACAGCCAAAGGTTTCAATAAGGCTGTTGCGCGGCAGGTGTTCGACCAGGTACTCTTCCAGCATTTTCCACGTATGTTATGTGAAAGCTGACAGGGACCTGTAGCTGGATCACCGTGCCAGCCAGTGTGGTGAGGTACAGTCGGAGTAGGCTGTCGTCCTCCCAGTCAGCGTTCTGTGCCTGGGGCTGGGCCATACTGGTTCCGCTCTTCGGGTGGATAATGCAGCCAGGACGGTAGCTACCCACTCCAGCGGCCTCAGCCGCACCTTGAGCCAATGGCTGGGCACCAGCAGTGGCATCTATGCCTTGCAGGTTCAACACGGGAAGGACACCGGAAGGAACCGTCAACTGCTACCCAGGGATGATCTACCCGCAGGTCAGATAGGTTCCGACAGCATCTTGGGATGCCGCCTGAGGCACTGCGAAACCACTTGTGGGCACTTCACCCACCGCAAGAGAGCGTTCTGTGTTGCGAAAGGTTGTTCGTGCAATCTGTCCTACTTCAGTGACTGTCATCAGAGATGAGAGCGTTCTACATGACAGCTCCGAACCCCCTAGTCCAGATAGC